GGGGGTCCATCTAACAGCCGGTGTTTGACATCTATAGAGGACGTGGCTATCATCGCTCTATTTTGGACGGCTGACATTCACACATAAAGTTGCATGTTTGAATGACATGTTGGCTTTCCCTCTTTTTCTGCTTGAGGGAATTATGTGAAAGTGAAATTGGCTCACATCCTCCGCTAGAGTTGTTTGAATAGGATGTGTTCATGTTCAAATCACGTTGTAAAACTCTCCGCCTCACACCATGTGCCAGGGTTTGAGGCAAGTGACATAAACACCAATCGCTATAATTCTCAACACCAAAATTGGACTGAGTTTCTGGATCATTACGGACTCTGGCTGTGCTTCTCCTCCCACATCAGTGAGCTGTTCACAGAAAATATTATGCACTCCACAAATATTCATCACACAACTTAAAACCGCCCTGAGCCTGTCTTAGCCCTGAAAACCATTTCAACTTTTATCAACTTGGAAAAGCTTTAACTCACTTTCTGATTTTAGGATTTAGAACATGCTCTTTAAACATGAGCTGCTTCTTAATAATATCAACTTCAAGTTTTTCATAATTTTCAGTACTGGGCCATTTCAACCCCTCCACTTTTCTTAAAGCAATGTAGCCAACAAGTGGTTGTCGAAGAGGTGAAATCAAGTAGTATTCACGTTACCTCTGGTGTACCACAGGGCACTGTGTTGGGTCCGTTACACTTTCTTTGCCATATCAACGACATCTCGTCACATGTGACATTTGCAGAGCAGTTATTTGCGGAGGACTGCTTGCTCTAAAGCCCTTTTGAAAATGGAGGTGACTGATAACAATAAGTGACCTGACCGGCATCCGGGAAATATCTGACACTTGTGTGATGTGCTTTAACGCTAATAAGTGATACTTACTACAAGCTTGCAGATAAAACAACAAACAAATTGGAAACTATACTCTTAGTGACCAGGTGTTAAAAAATACGTGACCCACCAGTCTTACCTTGGACAACAATCTAACGTTCAGCCAACACATTGACTACATTTGACCCAACGTATTGAAACCAGTCGCAAGTCGCAACAACCCATTCAGAGATAATCATAGACTTATGTCAAACATTTATGTTTTCTGTAATTTTGGGGTTTTGGTTGATTTTAAACAAAGTCTTGGCTTTCAGAATATGGAACTGATATCTGAATATTCAGATGTTTGATACATTTTTTGAGCTTGTTAAGACATTGGAGGCATTACAACAGGCCGTGTGTGTTGTTTGCGTTTCCTCTGAAAATACAAATGGCACACACACACACTTCTTACTACCAACTTAAGATAAAAACAATGCTACTAACTTTAAAATGAGTTAGGTCTCATCAAAACGAATGATGGATCTCCGTGATCCTTCCGGTATACGGTAAGAGATATCTATCCCTATCTATCATCTCTATACCTCTGGGTTCTGCTCAGTATTCATCCAGATCCAGATTCAGCAAGGCCATTGGGTTAATATGTAAAGAATTTTTGGTTTGAAACCAATATGAGAGCTCTCAAGTTGGATGAAGCTGTGGATAAAATGCAGAGGCTGAGGGAACCATGCTGTGACAAATAACCTTAAATGTGGCCACGGGTAATGCGTTCCCCTCAAGCCATTGTGCTTTTTTAGGAAATGGCGCCATTAAAGTCATCACTGTGTAAGATGTGGAAAGAACACAGCAGAGAGACTGGCTGACCTTGATGGAGCTTATTAGCATAAAGCAGCCCTTTGGGCCCCACATACTGCGTGGTGGTGTGTGTGTGTGTGTGTGTGTGTGTGTGTGTGTGTGTGTGTGTGTGTGTGTGTGTGTGTGTGTGTGTGTGTGTGTGTGTGTGTGTGTGTGTGTGTGTGTGGGATATAACACTCTGCAATCTGCTTCCTATAACCTTGTATTATACAATAATACAAACCTATAAAATGAAAGGCGGATTATATCTTTCTCAAATTCCATGATTCCTGTATCTGAAATAGAGTACCATATCATTCAGAATATGAAATAAGATGGCTATGATGTAATGAGAGAAACAAATGACCAAAAGGATTCAGAATGCCATAGAATAATATTGTGATAATATTGCCGTTCTATTCAGTAATATTGCGATAATTGATAATGTGATAATGAGCTGTGTATTTTTAATATATTTCATATTTTAAATATCAAGCTAATTGACAATACCAGTTGCCTTATTTCTGTGCCTTTTTGTGAACAGATTTTTCATAATGCATGTGTTGGTAAGAAATAAAAAGCTATGTAAATTTACCGCAATTATATATGAAATAAAACATGCTTTATAATTTCATGTTTACTTTCCTTAAGCACCGCATATTTTATATGTATATATATGTATATTATCGGGCGATTGTGTAGGAACAGGCAGCAACAGTTTAGCCGGCTAGCATCTCAGAGCTGCACTACTGAGCATGTCTACTGAGCATGTTAGCCTAGCTCGTTAGCATCAGCTAGCTTGGTAGCTTCGAGCTCGGTGGGATTATTTAAATCAGGCCTGACTGAACTCTGCCTTGTTGCCCTTTTTTGGATAAGGCAGTAACAGGTCACAGGTGTGAGTTAGGTGTGGACGTCACTGCTAAACGACGGCTACACTAAGTTAACACTGTTTTCATATATTTGAAATAAAGTCAATGGTTGCTGCTTCTCACCATTCAGTAAACATTTTGTCCGGGACTATTGGTTCTTCCTTGGTTGTAAATGTGTGAAGCAGTGAGTATGTTTTCATTGATGTTCATGTCAGCAAAGAGTTGCTCATCAATACCAGAGACTTATTATTTATTTGGACAGATGCTTTCCAGCTTGGTGGTGGAATCAATATTCCCCTCGCATCATCAGACTTTCATGCCAGGCACGTTTCGTATAGGAGAAGATCTATCGATGTTGTCGTAACGTCTCCCAGTCCGGTAAAGGTCATGGATTATTTAGCATCTGAATATAATGTATGTTTTTTCTTTATGATCCAATTCAATGATGGAACAACTTCATATTACAATAGCAGTCATACGAGCTACAGACCAGCATTCGGTCCCTGAAGACAATTCTATAATAATAATAATTGTAAGCCTATCAAACCTGTTTCTCTATTCATTTTCCAATTCAGGGCCTGAAGGCATCTCCAGACTTTATTGGTTTACTGCAGTTATTTTGAACCCTGGAGCATTTTATTCCTCCGTCTGGTTTATTTTAGCATAAGGGATCGCTGGAGCCTGAAGAAAACGTCCAGAGACTTCATTGAGAGGCTGGTTTCTCTTTGGGTTTCTAAACCAGCCTGGAGCTTCGTCTACAGGGAGAAGGTAGCTACAGAAAGTTGAATCATTAATAAATAACTTCATTGAGTCATACCATACCCAGAGACTGACTCATTTTAATTATAAAACTGTCCAAAAGGTTCCATATTTTATAGCGTACTTATATTTATTGATATTATTCATAAAAGTGTCAGTATTGGTCTCCAGTGGTTCATATGTATAGTGTCTATTACCTCTATAGCGGGGCGGAGTGGCGCAGAGTGCGTTTGATCATCAGATCAAGGGGTCGTTGGGGAACTCCAGTTCGAAACCCGCTCCCACCGCCGCTGCGTCAGGCCGTTGTGTCCTTGGGCAAGACACTTCACCTGAATTTGCTCCTGTTGGTCCACAGTACATGACCATTACATGTATGTATGATATGTATCTGTATTATTTGTTGCTTTGTATGACTCTTAAAGACGCACGCACACACACACACACACACACACACACACACACACACACACACACACACACACACACACACACACACACACACACACACACACACACACACACACCACCTCGGTGCTGCCTTTACAGTTGTATCTTGGAGGCAGAGCTACGCTGGGCCTAATTGTGTCTTGGAGCTACTGCGCTGCTCATCTCTGGAGATCTCATTATAAGATCCACAAGCTGTTCAGGCACGTAGCCGCTCTGCTCACTCTCTCATCCCATCAGCTTGCACATCATAACTGCCTGAAATCTCCATTGCCCCTTTGCAGTATTGACAGAACAAAACAATTATTGTTGATTAGGCAATTGTGCGGCGCACCTAAAGAGAGACACATGGAGGGAAAGAGATAAACTGCTCTGCGAGGTGTTTGATCTGAGCTGTCGATGGTGAGGGTCTAGTTAGCAGCTCTGATTTAAGTTCTGAGAGTGGCATGGGTTTCAAAGTACTACGTTTTTGTCCGTTTGACAGTGGATATTGTTGTTGAAGGGCCTGAAGCTTGACTTTTTCACAATGCTGCTTAGGTGCCATGCTCTCCGATTTCTGTTCTGCTGCAAAGAACACGTAATATTTTGTGTCTGTGAACCTTTACTCTGATGAGATGTTGTATTGTTAGCGTATAAGAAAGTTATTCTGTGTCTGTTTGATAAAAGCACATTTATCTAAGTCTCTGTTTTGCTGCTGCAGTTAATTTCTTTTTGAATGTAAAGATAGCAGTTCTCATTAGAGTGTCATGAAAACATCATTCAAATTGGGGGTTTCTCCATAAGTATAATACCGAAATAAAGTAGCACTTAAGATTCTAACTTATGCATCAGCACTTACAATGTTCTTGCTTGTTTGAAGTGAATATGTCAGCACATTTTTGTTCTGATTTAAAATCTTGATGGTTTATTGCACTTATTGTACGTCGCTTTGGATGAAAGCATAAGCTTAATGCAATGTAATGTAATGTTTGAGGCCGACCAGGACTTACTTGCATCCTATCAGTTCCTGAGGATTAAGGAAACCAAATTATCGAATGTCGTGATTGGGAGCGACTGTAACTGTGTCAGGTCGTCTTTCAATCAGAAGGCTTAGGGTTCAATCCCAGCCCCCGCAGTAATATGTCGATTTGTCCTTGGGCTAAGATACAGCACTTAACCCCAAGTTACTCCTGATGGCCAAAAATGTTTCAATGTGTGTAAATGTTTGCTTCCTTGAGCAGGTGACACCTTGTATGCCAGCCCTTATATCTGTATGAATGTTTGTGAATGGATGAATGACGATTTGTATATTTGAAGGGCTTTGTGGACTCGTAAAGTCGGGATAAAGCAAAGGAAGTCCATTTATCATTGACGAAATATTTTTGCAACTGAGGTTAAAAGATACCATTCGCAGATACAGACCTTGGGTTGGGAGGCACCTAACATTGGTTTCTCATACAGCATCTGGACATCAGGACTCTGTCCTAAACGGCTTGTTGGAGCTCCTGCCCCCCCCACCCCCTCCCTGTGAGCCCAGTGGCCGCCTGCGAAACAGCGAGACACAGCGACTCCTAGCCCGAAACACACACACACACACACACCCGCAACCTGGCTGGGAGTTTGTGTGTGTGCTCAGGCTGAGTTCCGCGGTTTCTCGCTGTCTCGCCGACCCCACACCAGTGAGTCAGCTCACACTGTCCCGCTCCTCACAGCAGCGGCCGGCTCCTCCCACATAAAAAAAAAAATATATATATATATAAAACATATATTTTTATTTTTTATTTTTAATAAACAAGGTAAATATTATATAATTGGTATCAGTAAAATGTATAATCTACAATAAAATCTAGTTTAAAATGGTGTTACGATGTCTAAAGTTACTGATAAGTCACATTTTTCCTGCCTGGCCTTGCCCGTGTATCATTACCCTCTCTCGTCTGGGCGCTAAGAGAGGAGCCCTCAACCAGTGCAGCAGCAGCCACTAGCAGCTGACTGTTGCTATC